CTGGTCCCATAGGCAGTTGTTGTGGCGGAAGAACTCATCTTCCCTGCGTGTGTTAAGCAAGTTGTTTGTCAATGGATATACGATTTTCTGTGGGGATCAGTAAAACAGAGCTGCTGCACTTAACTGTATGTATTCAGGAGAATCAAAGTGGCACTACAGAATGTTGTTTACATTACATGAGTATAAAACATCTCCGTCAGATGGCATACATAAAAGAAAATATACTTTTATATAGGTAACTTTACAAAATATAATTTTACCTTAGTCTAGGGAATATGAGGTATATCATAGATATATTAAACATCCTTGCACTAATAAACATCTATAATTACTCTAACACTATTGATTATTTATTTCTCATATTGTTTTGAAATCATACTTTTAGGGCAACAAATAGTGATGGCCGTGCAGGGCAGTTCCTCTCCCAAGAGGCCTTTACTCCAGGGACCTACAAGATGTTCTTTGACACTGGGAATTATTTCAAGCAGCAAGGAACCACAGGATTCTATCCATATGTGGAGGTGAGAATGACATGTGTGGAGATTTTTTAAAATGTCATTAAAAAAAGGATTTTCAAGTTTTGAATATTGTGTGTATGTTAATAGTGGACATTTTTGTGACCAGCTTTATGGGGATACTCAAGGGGGGATACATCCCCCCAAAATTTTGCATGTACATCACCTGCATATGAAATAGATCAATTTCTTTTAAAGTGTCTGAAAAGATTAGCTTATTGCCCAATAATCAAGAGAGGTGCACATTCTTTTTTGAGAATTTTGCTTTAGTTTACCAAATGGAGAAAAACTATTCAAGAAGTATATATGTATAAAAAAAAAAAAAGACGGGAAGAAAGCAAGAAAAAAAAAAAAAATTGTTAATACTTTCATGACTTACTAGATCAGGGTCTCATGACGGTCATGTTATAAAAAAAAATTAGTTGAGGCTTGGGCCAAGGTGAAGACTTGTCATAAATGCACAAAAGTTTTGGAGGATATTTAGAATTTGTGTGCATTTAGCAAGGAGTTCTTTCATTATTCCCACTGGAAAAGTACTGACTCCAGGGAGGATGCCGTTTATGTGATCAGAAAAAAAACTATAATTACTTATTATTATTGTTAATGTGCTGAGTTACAGACTGCCAACAGATATGATATAGATAAGAGTCTGATCAAGGAAAACAGTCTTGATACAGGATAATAAAAGCTAATGGGGAAAAGACATTGCTAAGGGGAAGCAAGGCATCTTGATACCACACGTTTGTTCATGTTGACTGGGCCTTTGAGCCACACACCGGGAGAGTCACAAATAAAGTAAGCTTATTGCCTGAAATTTGGTCCACATGCAGGCTGAAAGGCAACTGGATCTAATGGATTAAAATTGTTTTGTGTGTGTGTGTGTGTGTGTGTATGTGTGTGTGTGTGCGTGCATGCATGCGTGAGAGAGAAAGTGAGTGAAGATGAGTGATGAGTGAATGTGAGTGAGTGAGTGAGTGAGTGAGTTGAGTGAGTGGGTGAGCGAGTGAGTGAGTGGGGAGTGGTGGATAGTAGGTGGGTGAGTGAGTGAGTGAGTAAGTGGGTGGGTGAGTGAGTGAGTGAGTGGGTGAGTGAGTGAGTGAGTGAGTTGGTCAGTGGGGTGAGTGAGTGAGTGAGTGGGTGAATGAATGGGTGGGTGAGTGAGTGAGTGAATGAGTGATTGTGGGAGTGAGTGAGTGAGTGGGTGAGTGAGTGAGTGAGTGTGAGAGAGAGAGAGAGTGGCAGACTGGCTGGCACACTCTGCTTGCCTACTTGCCTGCCTGCTTGCCTGCCTGCCTGCTTGCTTGTCTGTTTGCTTGCCTCCTAGCCATGTTCATGTGTGTCTGTGCACGCGTGCATGCATGCAAGTGTGTATATGCTGGGTGTGTGCGTGTATGTGCAAGTGCACATGGAGATGATTGGGTGGGCAAGTATGTATGCAAGTATGCATGGATGACTTATATAAAGGCATATGCATATTCAACACCCAATTCTGATATATAATGTGTTTCTTTCAGATTGTATTTGTTATTGAAAGGCCTGAAGAACATTACCATATTCCTCTTCTCTTAAGTCCATATGGATACACTACCTACAGAGGCAGCTAAATGCTACTTTATCCTGATTCATGTCCAACATGATACCTGAAGATTACTGCAAAGATTGCCTGGGTTATACGGGAAGGTTGAGTATTGTTGTTCTAAAACTGTACAAGCAGTATCAATTATTTTTTCTCATGTTAATCCATTTTGTGCATTTGTTTACTGTTACAACTAATAAAAATCACTGTCTTTAATCAAAATAGATTAAGGGCCTTTTAACCTTTTTAATACAAAATACTAGCTTAAGGAAAGAATATCTTGCTAATGTGATATATTAATACATTATTGTTTATTGGCAGAAATGAGAATATTTTGAATGGGTAGAGAATGAAAATGATCTTTTATATCCTTATTTTTTTTAAAAATTATGATAAAGACAATTGTAGTGCAGAATGATTTTATGTTATGTTAATAGTGAATGCTGTAGAATAGCATGCCTTGGCGAATGATAGGTCTTTGTTTTAGTATCAGTCACAAAAGCCTATAAATGTACTACTGAAGTTATTCAGGAGCTTTATACACTGAATCTTATGTGTAAAGGTTGGTTTCGATTCTATGCCCTTGGTGATACAAAACTAAGATGGTCCAGCCTTTAAAAGCATATAAGATATACAATAGTTTTATTGTTGTGTCTGCTGTAAGTTGGTGCTAGAAAAAAAGTACTTGCATGCCTTGATTTGTATTTCAAATAATACAACTTTAATTTATAAGAAAACGAAAAGTAAGACCTGTTTTATGTTACTAAAATTAAATTTTCAGTTAGTTTGCCAACAATCAGTTACTACTAATCTTTTGAATATTAAGTTTTTAAAGCAATAGCTTCATAATTTTGGATGGTTTTGGCAGTGCCCTTGATGTCAGATGTTATTTTACAATTTTCTTAGATTTGGTCTTCCATTCATCTATCTCTTTAAATTTCATGAGCATTTGTGCCAAGATAACCAATTGTTTATAAACTGATTTTGTATTCAATAACTTTGATATGAAATAAGGGATAAAACAGGTACAGATTCAACATTTTTGGTGGTCCAAGCCCAGGCACAATTGCCAAATTGAAGATCATTAGATATGGGCGTTGGCATAGCTGTTTTGTTCAAAAGCTTTGGCAAAAGACATTGCTCCTAAATGGGGGGCCGCTTGCCAGGTACACCCCCATTGGATATGAAGTACCTCAGGCGAACCATTTTATGATTTTTGTTTGAAAATTATTTGCCAGATTTAGTGTGGTGGTGAAAGAAAGACCTTGATTGCTTTCATACACACTCATTTTCCAGATCTGATGTTACTAGATCAAAGACAACACAAAGTTAAATTATTCAATTTATTAATTGAGAAACAAAAAGACAAGTCATAGGGCACCTTCCACATCATGGGGATTGTAGTAAGTAATTATGTTAATCCTTTTATAATATTGGAGTATATATTGCATATGATTGTCATAATCATAACTGTTATATATTTGTTATTATTGATATTATTGAACTAAAACGAAGTCTAAAGAATAGATAGAAAGAACCTTCACCAGACTAATGTGATCAAAGTACTATTGAGAAGTAACTGCTCCACCTTAATTAACTAAGTAATTACGATAGTTATAAGAAAATAGTGGAGTGGTGACAATCCGTAAAATCTTTTTTGTATTTTTCTCTCATTCATTATCATTATCTGCAGTGTTATGCTATGGCAGAATGATTCTGTGATATTTTGCAAACTGTGCTGTTGTTATTAAGTATAAATTCCTTTATATTACCAGTAGATAGAAAAAGTAAAATCAAAAGTTAGATTATGTAAATCGTAAATATATTGAACCAATCTTTTGTGTTTGGTCCATACATCAGCTGACCTATTTTATGACTAATCTTGTACTTCAAAATTAATATATATATGATGGGAAACTGTTATGATATAGACTAATACACTAATACTCAAATAAATTTATAATGATTCAAAATATTGTATGCTCCCTTCCCCCTCTTTTGCCAGTTGTGAGATGAGTATTGCATTTCATGCATCTTAATTTTTTTTTTGCAAAGAATTTTCAAATCCCTTTCTTGTTGATAATTTATTTCTGGACATTCACTTGTTCAGTCAGCTTAAAGGAGTGAAAAGGAAACCCACAGTAAGGTGGTTTATTGAATAGAGACCAGTTTCACAATTGTCTGTTTTATGACTGTAAACTATATTGATGTGAGAGATATCTACATGTACTATGTATATGCTATAATTTTCAGATAATTACATAATGTCATGATTTTGTCATCAACCATACTGTCTAACAATTAGATGTAAGGCAGATACCATCTGACCTTAAATAGTTTTTTTTTATTTTAGTTTCTTCTTAAGTGTTTTGTAGATATGAAAATCCAATGCATTTGAAATTTGGCTAATGGCATCACTTCATGCCTTAAATGCTGGTTAGCTGCTGAGTGCACCGCCAGGTATTAGCCGAACTATGGAATTAGTATCCAATACCTCATTCCACACAATATGTTCTGGTATCAACAATAACACAACAGCATGAGTGATCATTCAAGACTTGTCCAGAAATTTACTCATTCTCTCTCTCTCTCTATCTCACACTATATAACTATATACAAATGAGCACAAGGAGAATAAAGTACAAAAATCAGTCAGCACTAATTTCTTTGAGGTGTCATGGTCGAGTTTTCATAAGATTATATTTGTTTTCACTCTCACTGTTGAAGAGAGAGCTCTTGCCCTGGAAATGCCATATATATACATCACCTGATTACAGTAATGGCATATAAATTCTGTATTTTTCTATTGGCTGTATATGAGCATGTTTATTTATCTTCATTCCCTCAACAAATCCATAATATTCATTGCTATCAAAGCTGTATTACATGTCCAAACTTTGTACACACACACACACACACACACACACACACACACACACACACACAACACACACACACCACACACACACACACACACACACACACACACACACACATTCACACACACATTCACACACACATTCACACACACACATTCACACACACACATTCACACATTCACACACTCACACACTCACACACTCACACACTCACACACACACACACACACACACACACACACACACACACACACACACACACACACACACACACACACACACACACACACACACACACACACACACACACACACACACACACACACACACACACACACACACACACACACACACACACACACACACACACACACACACACACACACACACACACACACACACACACACACACACACACTCACACTCACACACACACACACACACACACACACACACACACACACACACACACACACACACACACACACACACACACACACACACACACACACACACACACACACACACACACACACACACACACACACACACACACACACCACAACACACACACATTCACACACACACATTCACACACACACACTCACAAACTCACACACACACACACACACACACACACACCACACACACACACACACACACACACACACACACACACACACACACACACACACACACACACACACACACACACACACACACACACACACACACACACACACACATTACTAACAATATACAAAGTGAAAGAAATGAACTGAGAAACTGTGTGATTGAAAAGAAAAATTTCCAAACATTTCCAATAACTTTATCAAAAAGGATAATAATCTCTATGTCCTTGTTTTTTTCTTTGATCTACAGATACAGAATGACCCGTAAATGTATTTAACACATTTCTATTATAGAATATAAGCACTGCTAGACTTCTCTGGTGAAAAAGTAAACACAATAGACATGAGATGAGCCTCTGGTAATGAATTTCAGGCATGTTTTCAGGTTTGGAAGGGCAGATTTATGATGATGACGTAAAATAGCTCATGTTCCCAAACACCTCTCCCGTGCGTGGGAAAAATCTAACACTGGTACTTTCCTTGCTGTACTAAAGACACTGGAAAAATGTGATATTTGCACAGGTGACTCCAGCCACCAAGATGTCAATTAGTAGTCTATGTGTCCTCAACTGATACTCTAATACAATTAATATCATAATTATCATGGGTCTTTAATTATACTCATATTTTCTATTTTCTCTTGATGGATTTCTCAGTGGCATGTGGTTAAGGTTATTAAGCCAATTCATTGTTTCATTCTGGATAAAGTCATAACGTTTTGTTTCCCTTAGAAAAAAATTCCCTTACTATTTTTTCATCATTTACTTCCAGATTTGTGTAAATTCTGTATGTGTGACTTGAAAATAATTTTGTAGTTGTCTATTGTTTATGAATTGTTGGCATACTGTTGATGGTAGATGGTAAGGCTGGTTGTACATTGGGGGCATCCTGGTGTAAATCTTTATTCGAGGTAGGGACTGAGGTGTAGTATTTTTGTAGTGTCAGCACCACCTCTTTCCCGTTGCTTTTCCTGTGGGTTGTGTCCCACATTTCTGTTGCACTGTTGTATTTATGGTTCTGTTGATTTGCAGGTTGGTGGACTCACTTTGCCTCTAGAGATACAATTTTGCTTTTATAAGGGACACAGAATACCTGAGATTTGTATGGACTATGCTGAGGCTCAGATCACCAGTTGACCAGGCTAATCTGTCAGCCTACTCATTGCCATGGATACCAGAGTAAAAATTCCTTAATTGTTGAGAACACTGACCACCTGCAACTGTGAGGGCAGCAACAACTGAGTCTGGTGTTCAAAATGGAATAACCATTATGTCAGGTATTACCTAGATAAAAAATGCCCTAGATTCAATGAGTTTATCTCTTTAAAACTGCTAAAATCCATGAGCTTCCGTGGGCTTCACCAACAGGACCCCCACCGGGGAACCAACTCTGCCCCCAACCACTGCAAAATACTTTCCTATATCTATCTACCTTAATATTTTATTCTTTGACAGTTTATTTTAAGTTCAGCAATTTCTTTCTCTTTAACTACAAGCTGTTCACTGATATTACTTGTCCTAGGGGTGATGTTAGCAACTGCCGAAGCATATAAAGTATCGGGGTTTTTGTGTCAAACTTTTCACTTTCCTTTTAGCTTCAGTATAACTAACTTCATGTTTGTTTTCATATATTCTAACGTATTAGTCTTCCTCTTCAGGCTGCTACACTCAGCAGAGCCTGACTGATGGGGGACCTCCACATCTAGCACATTTGAAATATTCATTTATGTCACATTTACAGCTAGTAAATTGATTTGAGTTTTTTGTCAGTACAATGCATTAGTTTTTTGATGTAAGGTTTTACTTCTATACATTCATATCCATCATTGACTTTCTCGAGGGTTTTATTTAAGAGAAAAAAAGAAAAAGTTCAGTTTGTATATTCCTGTCCTTCTTGGTCATAGTTATCATCCACTACGTCTTGGTCCTTCATGCTCTTGATAATTTCACTTTCTTCCATCGTCCTCAAATACCTGTGAAAGATTACTCCTTTACTGGTATTTGGACCGATTGGAATAGTTACTTTGATTCGGAGATTGAATTTACACCAGCTTAATTAAGTCCTTTATCTGGGAATTATACTGTACTCTTACAAAGAGGCTATCATCTCACAATTTCCTGGCAAAATCAAAATCACCATCCACTTGACCATAAAGGACCCTTTTGATGATAAAGGGGTTCATGCTGAAAAGCATGCATTCTCTGGTGAGATTTTGAAATGAGTTCTTTTGGGTCTGTTATTAGCAGGGGTTCCATTGTTCTGGGTTGGATTTGTCGTGGATCAGTCATGGATCGTCCTTCTTCCTTGAGGAGGAGGATTATCCGTGGTAGCAAACAGCCTAGGTTGTGGAAGTCCGAACCTTTGGCCCAAGGTCGTTCTCCCGAAGGGATCTGCGAACATAGGGATTAAAACATTTTTGAAAATTAAGAAAAAGAATAAATAGGTGAGATAAGTCGGACTAGTGAGTCAATCTTGTGGAGCCATCTATGTGCAAATACAATGAATAAACTAAACTTACTCTGGGCATGGCCTATCCATACAGTTTTAAGTGGACTCATCTGCAATTAAACAATTCTAAAAAAAAAAAAAAAAAAAAAAAAAATCATTGAGAAGTTTAGAACATCATAAAAAAATGATAACTCAAATTCTTTGGACAAATCTTAGGAGAGAGAGCAAACAAAAGATTGCTCTATATAGAACATTTGAAGGAACAAGAACACAATTATGACTAAAACATTATAAACCATTGAGTTTAGTCCTTTCCAGTAATATAAACAAAGTTACTAATGAACATGAATCAGCTAGCGCATGCTTCATGTCTCTTACTAGCTCACAAACTCTGAAGCAGTTTTTTCAAAGTAATTTCATGGTCCTGTAACTTCTTCACATACATTAACCCTCTGGTAATGGGCATATACACTGTCGGCTGCAGTTGTTTTGTTTTGTTTTATACATGAATATTTTCTTAAGTATTTTCACAGTTTACAACGAGTCAATTACTGTGCATAATTGACTTTATGTTTGTGTCTTTCATATGAATTTTATATATTATTATTACTAATAAAGTCAAATCTCAGTGAACAGGATAGGTATAACGGCACTCAAGTTGCTTCTACAGCAATTAGCAGCAGTGGTCAGAAAGGCCATTTCATTCTTCTCATGCAGGGTGTATGTGTACCTACATGGACTCTCCACTATGGCTGTGGTTTAAACATTTTATTTACTCACAGATTGTTTCAATACACTCAGTCACCAAAGAAACCATTATTAGACCTATCTAACTTCACCAGTTTACGCCAGTCCATAAAAATTAAGAATGGAAGGCTTTTAATCTTATGACTGTTAATATTGTTGATAAAGTTAAAGTAAAAATGATAACATTATTCACCCTTGTGATATTTTTTCTTGAAAAATCAAGAACGGGGTAAAAAGGTGTGATTAGGCTGCCCTGGTAGCCAAATCCTTGGCGATTAAGCACTTACAAAGCAATCTGTGTGTAAAAAAAATGAATTTGATCAAAACTATTCAGTTGAGTTACATTAAAACTGACATCCATGGGAGAGTTTTAACATGTTAGCAAGAGGTACAAATAAGGACATTTTTGGACTGAGCTGGTGACTCTAATCCAGTGGTTCCAAGCCTTTCCCATTCAGTGGCCCGCGACTAATATATATAAATCTCCATGGCCCCATTCAGTGACTGTCATCTTTTCATATTCAGTTATTACTAGTTATAAATAGTGTAGTGATGTGAATAGCTGTAGGACAATAACACTTTATGGAAAATTCCAATTTATTGATATGTGAGAGATAATTATATGTAGGCACTGTAGGTGGGATAAAATTCAGTTTAATCCGACGTCAAAATTTTCATATTGCTCCATGGCCCCCTAGAAAGCACTTCAAGTCCCTCAAGTTGGAAGCCCTTGCTCTAAGCAAATCTCACCCATGACATCATTTTCCACTGACATATATTTGCATTTATGTTAAAGAAAAAAAAAGTAGTGGTGTGGGCCAAAAAAAAATCAGAAATGTGGGATTTACTCATTCTGTATAATTTATTTACTTAATGAATGCACACATGCTTTTAATAACATAATGTTGCGACTAATTACAAAACAAAACAAAAAGTTTACCTCAAATTACAAGTATCTGCCTTTAAAAGGTGAAAATGTCGTTTTCTCTAATCCATAGAAAACGTATCCAAAGCTACGAGAAATTTACGGATAAATAATAACTAAATATCAAATAAGTATCTGATATCTCCAGAACATTAATTTTAAAGTGCCCTTATCAAGGATTTAAAGCCTAATATTATAAGACCTCTATAACTTCAGATATGTTTCACTCTTTATGAAAAGCAATATGTATGCAATAGAAATATACGTGACTTTCCATC